TGTAGTGTTGCCTGGGGTTGTTGTGACCCAAGGGCAGGACCCGGCACTTGACCTTGTTAAACCTCATACAGTTGACCTTAGCCCATCGATCCAGCCTGGGCAGATCCCTCTGCAGAGCCTCCCAGCCCTCCAGCAGATCAACACTACCACTCAACTTGTTACCATACATCACCTCACCAGGATTACACAGATGCTACATGCTTGTCTTTCTCTCCAGTTTGAGTGGCATCTTAGAACCAATGGGAAACTATTAAAATCGTCTTTGTTCGACTAAAGTGTAAGATGGTCCAAATTAAAACTTATGTTCAAATCCCCAGTGATCTCACAACAGGTAGAGCACACAAAACAGCAAAACAAATGAAAAAGTTCATTTCAGGCATGCAAACCCTGGCAGGGCTATGTAAACTCTACTCTTTTTACCACTTCTGATGATTTCCACATAGACCCCTACACCAGTTGCTAAGGTAGCTCTGAATGCCTAAATGTACCATATTGCAATAGAGAGGAACGTGCAGATCTGAAAAGGATTATATAACTTGTTAATAAAAAAAAAAAAAAAAAAAACAACACAATTCTCCCCTTCTGGAAATACCTTCCAGCTTCTTATTCTGAACTACCCATAATTCACTTGCTAAAAGCAACCCGAGATAAAGAACTTAGTAAAAGTATGTCTGAGCAAAACCAAATTAGCCCTAAAGAAAAGGGCCAAATATGAAAACAGAAGGTTTACACCTAGACCAAATGTAGCAAAGAATTCACAACAAATTGCTAGAAAATTACAGATATTTATTTCCCTGGTGGTGCAATGAAATATGGATTTTCTTGTTTTTTTTAAACAGAACTCAAAAAAGAATGTACTCCCAAGTTTTAAACGTTACTAGAAATAATAAAGTGGTGAAGAAGCTTCATTGAAAAGCAAAACAGAAATTAAACTAGCAGCTCGAAAACAGACCATACTCTACTGCATTAACATACTCCTCCTCAAACTAATTTTAGGAGTAAGAACAAAGCATGGTGTGTTTCAAGTTGGCCTTGCTTTCAACACAGTGGCTGAAATAAGTGATTTCTAGAGGTCCCCTTCCAGCTGAAGTACTCCAAAACAATAAGAATAATTTGGGGTTTTTTATGGTTAAAATATAACAAAACTCCAAAGAGTAACCATCAGAAGACATTGCAGCAGCTTCCAAGATGTTAATATTCCAGTTACTTGTACACAAAAAAAAAGCCTGAAGTAGGATACAAACCACTTTACTCCATCCTCACAGAATTCCCACAAGCCTAATTACAGGGAAGCAACACTGACCAATTTCTGCATTTACACAGTTAACTAGAAGACTTAAAAATGTTAAGAACTAAATACACAGAAATGATGTTTTCTGCTCTTAAAAAAGAACTCGTATTTACTATGTTGTAATTCAAGTATTAATAGACATTGCTCTGCTTGGACTACTCAAAAGATGATCTATGCAGACAAAGAAAAAAATATTAAAGCTTTTGAAAAGTCCAAATAAATACCTGTAGCTGCCTTAGACACTAAGAAGGGTTCACAATTGGTTTCCAATTTACTCTGTACTTGCTCAAAACCCTAAAAAAAGCTTATCTTGAAAAAAAAAAACCCAACAACATTAAGCTACTTAGCTTTCGGAGCTTGTGATAACTTCAGATACTATCAAATCACACAAATCTTGAACTTTGAACTTCACTCTGAAAGTATTTGACTCTGCGAGCAGTCCACACCTCTTCGTTAAATTAACAGAAGGTGCTATATAATTAGCAATGTATTTACTACTTTATCAGCTACTACTTGCTGTAAGTGGAAGAAACTGGCTGTGAATCATGTGCCCCTGCTCCATGTCTATGCAGAGTGCCTGACTTCCAGCTGTCATACCCTGTCACTCCCTCCTCCTTCCTCATTTCAACCCGATTTCTACCTTCTACCAGCTCTAACATTTCTACTCAAAAGCACCTTCTTTTGCACCCTGCTCAAAGTAGCAGGGCTATATAAATTAGAGTAGCAAAATAATTCTGTACATTAGCCTGCTTTTTACAGCATTTCCACAGAGAGGACAAGCATTCATGTTAGCAACAGGGGTAAAATAGAATCATTTTGACACAGCAAATCAAAACAAAACTCAAGTTTCAACTATAGTATCACCCATGAGGCAGATCACTGAATCATAGAGTCATTAAGGTTGGAAAAGACCTCCAAGATCATCAAGTTCAACCATCAACACAACACTACCATTACCACTGAACCCTATCCTGAAGTAGCAGATCTACACACTTTTTCAACCCCTCCAGGGATGGTGACTCCACCATTGCCCTGCACAGCCTGGGCCAACGCCTCACCCCTCCTGCAGGAAATTCTTCCCAATATCCAATCAAAACATCCCCTGGCACAACTTCAGCCCATTGCCTCTCATCCTATCACTAGTTACTGCCCAAATTTTGCAAAATTACCATGCTACTAATTCAAATTTCTATTTGAAATCATGAGCTTTACAACATTTTTTTTCTTCTTTCCACGCATCTCAGCCTGCAGTTTATGTTTAGATGCTTTTTTCTGCTGTTGGCTTTCCTCTCCAAGAGGCTATGAAACAAGACACTTTCCAGGATTCCCAGCTGGTGCAAGATGGAAGTGAAGCAGACAGACACCCCAAGTGAAGGGAACAGAACATCTCAGCAGCAATGTTTCCAGTTTGCAGACTCACAGACTTGTCCAAACAACCAAAGCCTCAAAACACACAGGCGCAGAGAGAGAGATAGAGATAAAAAGTTCCAAAATAACCAGGGTGGTCTCATGCTTTTGGGATGTGTGATTCCCTTCTGGCTCCCACATCTCATGTGACCCCTCTCCTCAAGGGCGATACACAGCGGGACGTGCACAGCTCACACACATTTCTTCTTTTAAACAGGAGCAAGCCAGCAGCATTGCATGCTTAACCGTGCATCATCACAGGTGCATTCTCAAACCCAGAGCTGCTACTGCAAAAAACATGCTCCACAATATGCCAGGAAGTGAAGAAATTTGCAAAATGGGGAGAGGGGAAAAGAGTACGAATCAAATGATGCTGATTCCAAAGTGGTGTATGCTCTGAGGTTTTGCAACCTGACAGCACAAAAACTGAAGCGTTGCTGAAAACCAAATATAACAGTGAGCTGGTGGGGGGGGAACTGTTTTAAGAAAAGCATGCTTGTTTTTTGAACAGGCAAGCTCATTTCTCCCCCAGCTAAATATAAGCACCCTGAAGGACCTTACTTATTATCTGGACGTGTTAGACTGGAACACAATTCACAGGCCAATGCTGACTCACTTCTGTGTCTGCAACAGATCTGGCGTTGAAGGACACGGGCTGCAGTGAGCCAGCGTCACCACCCTTCCACAGCACGTGTGTGAGGCTGCAGCTCCACAGGAGACAACCGTGGTAAGTGCCTTTGTACCGCTGGGGAAGATCATCTTACGTCTTTTTAATACCTGCTTCTGAGGAGCATGCTGAAGAAGCACATTGCCTTGAAACTCCTTTGCTGGTTCAGGCAAAGAACGCTTTTTGCTTTAAGGAGCAACACAAGATGGCAGAACAGGGTGGAAGCACTGCTCCTGGTTGCACGGATGATCTAAGCCGCCGAGCAGAAATAGCAGTTTCGTCACTTGATTGAAAAAGCTGCAGTAAAAACTGAGCTCTTTCACCCTTTCCTCTCCTGCAAAAAGATGTCCCAAGACCTGCAGCTCCTGCAGGGGCTGGCTGTTACGGTATCATTACCAGCTTGCTTCTTCCCTGAGGCTGGGGAAGGAGAGAGTCCTGCTCAGGGACAGCCTGTGAGCATTGCAGGGAAGGCTATGGAGTGGAGCAAGTGAGGGGAATGACTGTTCGCCAGGCAACACCTTCACCAAGTTCTTCCAGCGCTAGCTGCGCTCAGCAGTTCAGACACGCTGCTTTTCATACCTCAGTTA